CTATGAAAATACCCTGCTTGTTGGCCTTCCCAACTCCTCCTCCACAGGCTGCAGATAATCCAGAACTCTGCAGCCAGTGTCCGTGACCCCATCTCATCATTCTCACCCAACTTCATTGGTTCCCTATCCTTCAGAGGATCCAGTTCAAGATCCTGGTCCTCAACTACAAAGCCCTCAATGGCCACGCCTCCCCTACCTCTGCGACCTCCTAACCCCCTACCAACCCGCCCGCTCCCTCCGCTCAGCCGGCTCTGGCCTGCTACATGTCCCCCGACACACCCGCCCCACCATTGGTGGGAGAGCCTTCTGCCACTCTGCCCCCCACCTCTGGAATTCCATCCCCATTCACTTCGCCTCGCCCCCTCCTTAGCCTCCTTCAAGTCCCGCCTCAAAACCCTCCTCTTAGACCATGCCATTGGTCACCCCCCTTCCCCTCCTCTCCCTTATCCCACCCTGACCCCAGCTTGTGTTTGAAATGCTGTATACTGTCCAGCACCTTGGGACGACCTCCCGATGTGAAAGGCGCTATACAAATGTAATCTTGTTCTTGTTGTTTTGTCCAATTCTTTCTGTGTTCTCTCTTTCTTCAGGACTAGAGGAGTCCTTGCAGCCTTTGGCACAGGCCAAGGAAGAACGAAGGGTGTCAGACCTCGACACCTGGCCAAGCCGGATCTGCCACAGACTCACTGATGTAACTGTATCTGCAGCCTTGTGTGCAGGGCTGGGAAGAACAAATGAAGTCTGGGGTCTACACACATGGGCAAGCCGGAGCCGCCACGGACACTGTGATAGACCGTTAACCTGCACAACCTCCTTCCAAGTGCGTAGATTCAGTGCTATAAGTTGTGATGGAGATGGGAGGGAAACTGCAGGTGAGAGTGAGGCATAAGAGGCGTCTGCAACACTAACCACTCACAGTGACAGTGAGTAATATCTGTCCCTGCCAGGGATGCTGAGACACCACTGAGGTCTTCCCCTAAACTAAATGAACTGTCTATTCCTAAAATTCAGTGGTATCACTCAAAGATACAAATAATTCTGACATAATTTTGTTGTCGCAAACCTTAAGAGCTGGCAACTGCAATGGGACATGTAACTTTGAACATAGGAAAGGTTTATTGTAATAAATAATAATAATAATATTATTGTATGTTGTGTTTCGTGCAGGTGCGTTGTCAATGGTGGTAATTTGGATGAATTGGAGCTCAGGGAGATAATTCAGGAGTATGTTAGAAAAGTCAAGGTGAGAGGTAACCAAGATATGGTTTGGTGGTATTTGCTGTGAGATAGGGGGAGTGGGGTTGGAGAGCAATGTGGCTGAGATGAAGAGAAGCAGTCTCCCTACCCCCATCCCATCAGTCCTCGCCAGTCTTCACCTGCTCCTAATCACAGAAAGGATTGGCCAAGATCCTCACATTCGTCTAGAAATCCCTTCATACCCTGGCAACTCCCTGTCTGTCCGACATGCTTACTCTTCCGTCTACCACTTGCCGCCTCTGCTTGGCTGGCTCCGGCTTCCTGCTGATCCCTGATCCCCTCTGCTCCACCATCGGCAGTTATGCTTTCAGCCAATATGCCACTGAACTCTGGAACGCTATCCCACTTCCCTCCACCTGGGCCGCTCCATCTTCCCCATTTTCAGATCACACCTAAAGATATTCCTGTTCAACCATGCTTATGGTCACTTCCCCGTCGCTCGGATTCAGAATCTACCACTGTTAAGCACTCTGAGATGCTACCCCTCAATGCAAGTTGTTATTACCTTAGAATATATTGGAATATACAGCACAGAAACAGGCCATTTGGCCCAACTGGTCTATGCCGGTATTTATGCTGCACGTGAGCCTCCTCCTGCCCTTCCTCAACTAAGCCTTCAAGCATAATCTTCTATTCCTTTCTCCCTCATGTACCTCTCTCGCTTTCCCTTAAATACATCTAATCTATTTGCCTCAACAACTCCTTGTGGGTAGTATGTTCCACATTCCCGCTACTCTCTGTGTGAAGAAATTTCTTTTTTAACTTCCCTATTCGATCTATTTGTGACTATCTTATATTGATGGCGCCTGGTTTTGGTCTCCCCCACAAGTGGAAACATCTTCCCTATGTCTAACCTATTAAAACCTCTCATCATTTTAAAGGCCTCTATCAGGTCACCCCTTACCCTCCTCTTTTCAAGACACAACAGTCCAAGTACATAGGAAGTAGGAGCAGGGGTAGGCCATTCGGCCCCTCGAGCCTGCCCTGAATGTTCAGCCTTTCCAGATCCGTATAACCTCTCAGATCGGGGATCATCCTTGTGAATCTCCTTTGCCCCCTCTCCAGTGCCTCTACATCCCTTCTATAATGTGGGGACCAGAACTGCACACAGTATTCTAAGTGTGGTCTGACCAAGGTTCTAGAGAAGTTTACCATCACTTCCCTGCATTTCATTTCTATCCCTCTAAAAATGAACCCCAATGCCTGGTTTACTTTGTTATGGTCTTATTAACCTGCAATGCTACTTTCAGTGAATTGTGTATGTGTACCCCTAGATCCCTTTGCTCCTCTACCCCATTTAGGTTTTTATTTTCCAGGATATATGTGACTTCCTTATTCCTTCTACCAAAATGTACCACCTCACACTTTTCTACATTGAAATCATTTTCCATTTAAATGTATAACCACTGTTATTATTGTTGGTGATGACGGTGGCTTTGAGGGAGAGGGGACAGCGCCAAAAGACGGGGACAGCTTGACTATAGCCACCAGCAGGGAGTGGAGGAGGGACAGGCAGAAGTTTGGTGGGGAGAGGTCAAGGGAGCAAGTGGTAGGTTTCAGGTGGGTTATGAGGGTGGAGAGGGACGAGAGAGAGAACAGGTTAAAAGTGTGAGGACAGAAGCAGAAGACATGAGGGCTGGGGGTGTAGGGTGGGGAGGTGGAAGATACACCAGTTGCAGGGACAGCATTGTGTTTCACATCCCATAGAAAGGTTAGGCTCCATATGAGTTGCACAATCTAGTTTAAAAAATTATAGCATTTAAAGTTATGACAAACTAATCCATCTGTACTTTAATATTGTTATTAATATTTATAAGCTCGAGTAAAAGTTAATGTTTTACCTTTATGTTCCTAATGTTATATTTCAGAGATATTTTATAAAGGTTACATAAAATAGTTAATGGAACAGATAAATGAAGGAGCCAGGTTGTTCAGAAGCATGATATATTAAACATTAACTCTGTGTAAACTAACCATAGTCACTTCATTGTAAATGTAAACGATAACTACTAAAGCTATAAACTAGGTTGTCACGCTGCAAGGGGATTTTGGCAGCATTTGGTGTAGGTAGTGGAGAAAGATGAGCAATTTTGGAGATGAAGAAAGGCAGAACTTTCTGTGAAAATGGAAGAATCTTTGTTTCGTAAGCTTTTATTCAACAAACCATGAACAATAAGTTCTTGAAATACAATTTCAAATGAACACAAACATATATAGAAACATATATAAAGATTAATATTAAAAGAGAAATTTAAAAAGACATGCACCCAAGCAGAATTCAATGGATTTAACATTGATTGTTATTCAGAATCTAAGTGCAGAAAAGTGGACAGGATACGAAAAGACCACCTGACCAGACCCATGGAAAAAAATCATATGTTACTCTATTTCTTAAATACCTTAATCAATGTATTTGCCAAATAGCTACTAAATCCCTCATGAAAGGGCTGACATAATCTGCCTCCACCTGTCCCACAAATCCCTCTCTTGTTTACTCCCCTGTTTACCAAGATCCTAAATTTCGTATTCCCACTGTTTATTCTCCGACCTCAATCTTATCAAATGGAATTGATCTGCATGAAATGAACGCTCGCCTTGTGAGGCTACTTCTGAAGTAATCAATCCCTCTGTGTTTTTCCAGCTACTATGTAACTGCCCCATATTGGTATCATCAGCAGATTTAGATAATTTACATATAATACAAATCATTCATAGTAGATCAAATGTCAAAATCCACTGTTTTCTGAGTATCATTGGCATTCACTTTTAACATAACATATAGGAGCAGGAGTAGGCGATTCGGCCCTTCGAGCCTGCCCTGCCATTCAATCATGGCTGATCTTCTAATCTAACTCCAACAACAACAACAACAACAAGATTCCGTGAATGGCCTTGTAGGTGAGGATGAGGATCTTGAAATCAATCCTCTGGGGGATGGGGAGTCAGTGGAGGCGAGCGAGGGTGGGAGTGATGTGGTCCCGAAGCCTGGTGCGGGACAGTACACGAGCTGCAGAGTTCTGAATGACCTGCAGCTTGTGGAGGGAGGTGCCGGGAAGGCCGGCGAGGAGAGAGTTCCCATAGTCCAGCCTTGAGGTGACGAAGGCGTGAACCAGGGTTTCAGCAGCGTGAGGGGTGAGGTAATGCCGTAGTCTGGCGATGTTCCGGAGGTGATGGAAGGCGGTGCCAGTTGTGGTGCGGATGTGAGGGAGAAAGGACAGCTCAGGGTCGAACAAAACGCCGAGGTTCCTGACTGGCTTTGAGAGGTGGAGAGTGCATCGTTGGATGCTGATGGTGTCAGCGCCTGAGGTGCGGAGGCGCTGACGTGAGCCAATCAGGAGGGCCTCGGTTTTTCGCACGTTGAGCTGAAGAAAGTTGTCTCTCGTCCAGGACTCGATGTCGGACAGGCAGGCTGTCAGGACATCGGTGGTCGTGGAGTTGAGAGTAGAGGAGGAAAGGTAGAGTTGGGTGTCATCCGCATACATGTGGAAGTTAACTCCATGTCTGCGGATGATGTCACCAAGGGGGAGCATATAGAGGGTGAAGAGGAGGGGACCAAGGACAGAGCCCTGAGGGACACCACATGAGACAGTGCGGGGGGTGGAGGAGAAGCCATTCGTCGAGACAAAATGAAGACGGTGAGAAAGGTACGACCTAAACCATTCAAGGACAGTGCCTTGAAGGTTGAGGTGGGAGGACAAGGTGGGAGGACTCCAGCTAATAACCTGACCCTGCCTTATCCCCATATCCCTTAATCCCTTTTGCAATAAGAAATGTATCTATCTCAGTCTTGAATGCTTTTAAATGCTTGACAAGATTAACAAAACCTCTGCATTTCAAAATACATAAATCAGCATTTCCAGTAAAAATATTTTGCCCGCAACCTACGTAACTATGCAAATTTGTGTTTACAATATACATTGAAATTCTGAAATACATTGAATAGGTCGATATTTTAGAGTTTTAGCTTCGATTAACTTTGGGAGACGGGAACATACTTGTGAACATTTCCTGAGAATGTTAAATGTGCAGATTGGAGTCCAGATAATACACCGTTTGAACGAAACAAACTTGATAGGAATAGGTCTTTTTTAATAGAAAGCACCCTTCAGACCTTTGTCTTAAAATTCTAAATTGTGTCCAGAAACAGTTCTTAAAAAACCCTGCAGAAAAATGGATCGCAAATTAAACCTGAATTTTAATGTCAAATTTATTTTTTGTTTATAATTTGACTTTCGTGAAGAGCGCTATCTAAATGCCAGTTGTTCTGAATATTCTATTTCTTCAAAAAATCTGCAGGTTCTTGCATTTTAAGACAATGATCTTCAGATTAAAATCATGAAAATTTTGGACCTCAGGTAGACAATAATGGAAAAATAAAGAGGACAAGGGCTTCTGAGATAAGCAAAAAAAATCATGGGCTCTGTGAGAATATTTTATCCTGTTTTGTCTACAAAATGCACAGTCACAAAACATTACAGTAAACCCTGTGAAATACTTCCATCTTATTCTCTTGTGTGTCCAGTGTAAAAACAATTGCAGTATTATGATGAAAAAATATAGGAGCTGTGTGATGCAATGTAATATTGGGTGAAGTACAAAAGCATTGTGTTGATTCTTTCATGTGTTTGGTCTAAACCAAGAGTAGTTTAAGTATGAAAATGTACATGGCAGCTGTTCAGAAGAAAATTACATTTGTATAGCTCCTTTCACGTCAGGAGGACATCCCAAGGTGCTGGACAATCAGTGTTTCGGACCTGAGCTGGGGGTCGGGATCGGGGAGGATGAAGGGCAGTGGGGGAATGAGGATGACCGAAGGCACGGTTGAAGAGGAGGATCTTGAGATGGGTCTTGAAGGAGGCAAGGGAGGGTTGAAGGTCTCAAGTCTAAAACCCATCAATATTTAACTGCTTTTTTGTAGTACTTCCCATTCCAATTGGTATCGCCTTTCCTTTGTTAACCTTTCGCTTGCCACATATTCCAAAAAATGTCAGAAACACCGGCATAAAGACGATGCCATGAATTGCACCAAACAATATGACAAGAAACATGATTTTGAAAAATGTCCGAAATATGTAAATGTTTGCAGCAGCCAACACAACAACACCCAGAATAGTGGAAAGCGCCCCCTGGATAATGGGATAGCCAAGAGTGTACAATGCTTCGATGGTACGTTCATTGGCACTTGCTTTGTCATTTGAAACAAATGCATATGAAATATGGGCTGTGAAGTCAACTGAAAACCCAATACAAATAACCAGATTAATCATAGATATGGAGTCTAGATTAACATCCCACAGAGCCATGAAACCAGCCACACCAGCTAAAATAGAGGCGACAGCTAATGTCACCCACACAGAACAAATTGGATTCGGAATTAACAACAAGGCAACAACCAGCATTGCACCTGCTGCCACAGCCACATTCTGTATTGTGTTGATCTGTATAACAAGATATTGATCAAAGTAAATGAACGCTGAATGATACACTTGTAAAGGGATTGTACAGCTCTCGGCCAGATCTCTCAGTTCAGTCATCATGNTTTTTTCGGCAATTGAGTCATTGACATTTTTGGTCTGAATAAAAAACCGTGATGCTGTTATGCTTTTATTATCTTGTGAGAGTTCAATATCTTGTTGAAATAAAGGGACAATCTTAAACAATTTAGGTAAATTTGCTATGAAGGAATCAGACGCCGTTATATCAATAGACATCAGTTTAGAAATGTCAATGTATGTTCGAAGCCAAGACTCTGATAGACTCTGATCTACATAAATGCTATTTTCAAATTTGCCCATACAGCGTTCAATTTCAGTCTGAACACTGGTGTTCCAATAGTCCACTGATTCTGAGACTGATACCATGACCCGAGGGCCATATTGTGAGAAAAACATATCTTCATGGTCATAGAATTTAATCACATATGAATTGTCAGTGGCCAGATTTCTAAGATCAAATCCTTCCTGTAACTGGAAACAGCCATAGATACCACCTGCCAAATACCCTGCATACAGCAGTACCACAAATACCTTGGTCCATATATTGGTGAGGAATGGGCCATAATATTTCTTAAAGAAGAGATAAATTGGATGCTCTGTTTCAGCACCGGACATCTCATCATACTCCCCACCAACACAGCACATTCCATAGAATTTCGATTCTCCTGGTTGATGGTGCATTTGAATCTTCCTGAAAGTCAGCCAATGCCTGTTACTGTTTTCTCTTCTCCCATTCAGTGCCAGAACCGCCCCAAAAAATGTAATGTTGTAAATGAAGCAGAACAAAACGGTAGTACCTGTATACAAGCAAAATGACTGCACAGATCGAAAAGGTGTCATGACACCAATGTAAAAGGCTATCACATCAGTCAGAGTCGTTATGGTAATGGAAGCGGCAGCTTCAGCATATGTGGCTGCCATGCGATCTTCGATTTTAGCATGAACCTTTGTCTTCTGCCAACTGGAGAGCATAATGAACATGTCATCAACACCAATACCTGTAAATTAAAAACATGTAAAGTGACAGATCAGTCTTAAGATCTTCAAAAAACATTATTGCAGATCTCAAAAGTTGATAAAGTAACATATGGGATTTAAAAATGTGTGATTTGAAGACTGAAAAATATTGACAGAAGAAATCTCTGCCAAATTCTTCAGATAAGACCTTCAAGTGCTCCATCTACGGTGAGGCTATTTGTGTGCATTATCTAAAATGGTACCAATATTGGCTCATGAAAAATCTGGACATGGTCCCTGTGTGGATAAACAAACAATGTGTATAGTTGAACATCACGCAAAATACAAACTAGTTATTGTGCTAACTNAAAAAAATTCTATCAAGAATTATCATGTGTGGTGGTATCTAAGCTAGATATATATCTTCAGCAGTCAGATAGATATCTAAAAACAGCAATCCTTGCATTTGATATTGCGCCTTATCGCATCTTTGAGAAATCTCAAAGCGCTTCACAGAATATACTGTAAATGAATTGACTATATATTTTGTGGGCAAAATGCGGCAGCCAATTGCACACAGCAGTGTCCCATAAACAATCGTGGATTGAGGGACCAAATTATTTTCTATTTATTTTGATGGAGTTATTACCCCCGGTAAAACAATCGGCCAATGAACTAACAATCGGGTTTCTACTTACTGCTCGGCAAACAGAGGGGTGTGGAGTACGGAAACTTGCCCAATGTTTCGCCCTCTTGGTAATCGAGCCCAGGTCCTCTCGCTTGCGAGGTGAATGCTCTAACCGCTAAGTTACAGGACTCCAAATGTTGATTTTTTAAAAAAAACTCTTGTCCGCCAATAGCATTATATATTTTAGTAAAAGGATTTAATTAAAAGCAATACCCTCCTCCCCTCCCCCTTGAGAGAAACCAATAAGACTTCACTAAACTCACTCGTAAACTTACAAATCTGGTGGAGTAATAGGGGAAAATCTGGTAAAAGGGACTTAATGGGTTGCATTTTAAAAGAAAGCATAGACATGAGGAGTCAAATGGCTTCTTCTATGCTGTAACTTTCTATGGCTCCTGTTTCGTTCCCTTTCTCTGTCTTTCCTGTCTCTCTTTGTGTCTCTTTCTCTGTCTTTACAGTATTTCTATCACTAATCCTCAATTGTATTTAGTAAAACTTTATAAAACTTCCGCGTGCAACTTCATAAATGCATCCCCAGTTATAATAAAGGTAACTAATCCTTATATTTGCTATAGTCTCTTCAAGTTGGGAAGAAATCCCAAAGTGCTTCACAGGATATACTGTAAAGTGCAGTGACTGTGCTTTGTGGGGATCTCAGCAGCCAATTTGCGCACAGCACAACAACCCCTCAAGTGAATTGTCAGTTTTATTTGCGGGATTGTTGCTCAGGACACTGGGTGAAATTCCTTTCTCTTTTTGAATTGTGCCATGTGATCTTTAACGTCTATCTGAAAAACTAATCGGCTTATCTGAAGGACGGAACCTCCAACAATGCACCTCTCCCAGAATAGATTGCACTGGAGTATCATCTTAGAAAGTGTGAATAATATAATAATAATAATCCTTCCATTTGATACAGTGCCTTCAAGGCATCTGAAAGAGTTTCACAGAATATACTGTAAAGTGAATTGACTGTAGAAACATATAAACATAGGAACAGGAGGAGGCCGATCAGCCCTTCGTGCCTGTTCCGCCATTTAATTAGATCATGGCCGATCTGCACCTCAACTCAGCCTTTCAATTCCAATTTCCCGCTTTCTCCGCATATCACTTAATACCCTGACCATCCAACAGTCTATCAACCTCACTTTTGAAGGTGTGGATGGATCCAGCATCCATGGCCTTTTGGGGGAGAGAATTCCAGATTTCTACCACTCTTTGAGTGAAAAAATGCTTCCGGATTTCACTCTTAAATGGCCTGGTTCTAATTTTAAGATTATTCCCCTTGTTTTGGATTCTCCCACCAGATGGGGAATAGCTTTTCTGTATCTACTCTATCAAATCCCTTTATCATCTTAAATACCTCAATCAAATTACCCCTCAACCTTCTCAGCTCAATGGATATTTTATATATTTTGTGGGTGAAACCTGGTAGCCAATTGTGTGTCTCAAAAATTTGTGGAGTGATTCACCAAATTATTATATTTTTCATTTGATATTTGAAGGGATTATTACCTCTGGAAAAGCAAATCGCCAATTGACTAACAACCTGGTTCCTATGTACTGCTCAGTAAACAGAGGTGTGTGGAGTAAGGAAACGACTAATATTTTGCCCTTCCCGGGAATTGAACCAAGTTCCCCTCTCTTGTGAATCGAGTGCTCTAATCAATACGCTACAGGACTCCACATACTCTACAGGACTCTGAATGTGGGACTGGAACTCTTGGAGACGAGAGTCTACTAAAGAAATGTCAAAATGATACTAACCGAGAATGAGGAATGGTGCATTAGCTGTGTTGATGGCAAATGAAACCCCACAAAACAGCAGCAGTCCAAAGCCTGTGAGCACAGCTAATCCAGCTGATATCACTCCCAGAGCAGCCACCCAGAACTTATTCCTTATAGGGTCCAACCTGTAAATAAATGGCACCACTTTCTGTAACATAATACATTTTTACCTTAATGTCACACAGTAAGTCAATGAAAATGAATTCCAACTTTACTTAATAGAGAAAGAACTTTACCTCGTACAAGACACAATGGAAAAGAATATTGAAAGGAAATAGGTGATTGAAAATAGTGGTACAATTTCTTTGGTGCTTCCTTCAAACTCTGTCTGTCTTGATACGGAAGTGTAATATGAAACCTGTAATGGAAATTAGGAAATATTTACAGCATATTAGTTACTAATAGTGATAATAATCCTTGTATTTGATATAGTGTCTCAACATGTTTCACAGGGTTTTTCTTCAGGTGTAGTAACTGTGTATTTGTCGGCGAAACATGACAGCCTGCTTGTGGGAGGGCGGGTAAGTGGGGTCTCCTTAGAATTGAGGTGACCCCTCTATGGTGATCTTGGTAGTCCAGTTCATGAAACAGGGGATCTGCAGTTCTCCAAGTCACTTCTGAGTCAGACCAGACAGCCCGGTTTGTGGACATGATTTGGAGGAATAAAGCAGTCACTCATTCCAAATTAATTCCAGTATGTTTCCTTATCAAACACCTGGTCTGGTTTCCTTATCAAACACCTGGTCTGGTTAGCTTCACATAACGAGTAAGGCAAATAGCAAGTGAAAACTGTCTGACAACTGAGTATATTTACTGATTGTAGATTTAAACACAAAAAGTATTCATTACTGAAGGAGACAGGAAGCAAACAGCGCAGGTTACTGTGAAGCTTCTCAGAGCGCTTCACAGTAACGGATCCTGTGGCTGAGCCTCGGGGACGGGGAAGAAGGTGACCAAAGGCGCGGTCGAAAAGAAATGTCTTCAGCTGAGACCTAAAAATAGGAAAAGTGGGGACTAGGTGAAAGGAGTGAGGAAGGGAATTCCACAGCCTCAGGGTGTAGTGGCTGAAGGCACGGCCGACGATGGTGGAGCAGAGGATTCGGGGGACAAGGAGGAAGCCAGACTCGGTGGAGCGAAGGCAACGGGCACTGTTTTGAGGGAAGAGGAGGTCAGAGAGGTGGCGGTGCAGAGGAGTGGAGGGATTTGAAAACAAGAGTGAGGATCTTGAAGTTGATCCTCTCTGGGACAGGCAGCCAGTGCAGTCTGGCAAGAACTGGGGTAATCCAGGAACGGAGTTTGTTGAGGGTAAGAATGAAGGCGGCAGAGTTTTGGATCAGAGATCAGAAAAGTTTTCAGTGGGAGAGAGGGTTGGAAGAGGGTGAGGTGCTCAAAGGAGGGAAAGCAGCCAGAGGAGTAGGGGGGGGGGGAAAGACCAAAGGAGGCTTTGGAAATTAAGGCCACCCGTCACCACGCTGGTTTGGACTGGGGGTATGGTGGAAGGAGTAGCCTGGAGGGGAGGCTTCAAACAAGGGGACGGGGTCATGGGGGGAGAGCCAGATTTCTGTGAGCCCAAGAATGTCGAGGTGCTCATCCAGGATGAGGTCATGGATGGTGAGGGCTTTGTTTGAGGGGGAACTGACATTTTGAAGGGAAATGCAGGAGAGTTTGCTGGTGGGAGGAGAGGGAGGAGAGGATTTTAGGGTGTACAGGAGAGATGGCTGTGGAGTATGGTGGGAGTGGAGAGTTGGAGAGGATACGTATAAGGGAGGGGGAAGTTGTGTTTGCCTTAGGGAGGTGGCTTGAGCGGAGGGAGTGAGTGATGGGACACGTCGGGTTGCTGCTCTGGGACAGCCAGTGCCGGGGAGTCATGATGGGCCCGGCGGAGGATGCCCAGGCTGGAGCAGAGGGAAGTGGTGATGGAGTCGAGGAGAGTGAGAAGGCGGGGAGAGCGGTGGGAGAGAAGGACAGATGGGAAGTAACGGATGGAGGTGGGGTGGGCGGAGAGAGATTTAGAGTGGAGCGGGAGGGGCGGCAGCCAAAACACGCACGCAGAGACTGGGAGCGAGTGATCAGCAGAACAGCATCAGCCCTCAGGCTGTGTCTTACGGCTAGGATGGCAGTGACAGGGGCTGCCAGGCCACTGTTTAATTATAACATCACATCTGACTCCTCACCTCTCTAGCTTTAATACCCACTGCTAGGCCTCAGCTCCGCCCCGCGCTTTCCTGACTCCGCTCCTGCTCCCAAAGAGGATTGTCAACAAGCGATTGCAATGAGTAACTTGTGCATTGAGACATGTCGTTGTTGTCACTGACCTGAATATACTGCAGATTTGTTGATTTGTTTTGAAGATCTTCAACAAACTTCTTCAGCCACCGCTCGTAAACTACATTTTCTGCTGCGTCGTCATCTCGTAAATAATAATCAAGTCTAACAGCAGAAGCTGTTTTAATATAATTTCCCTCTAACTTCACTCCCCCCACAGACAAACCAATGAAACCATTACATTCTGTGCTATTCTGGACGGGATAAGTAAATTTAAAGCTCTCCACTAGACTAGCATCGTACTGTATACAGTCTAACATTACATTGGAGAAGCAGGAATCTCCTGCTTTGGCACAAAGACTGGAATAGTTATTCTTATCAACAACAAACCCTTTAACTTCCCCATCGAGCCGCAGAATCTCTTTAAATGCTGCCTCTGTGAGGACGTTGCCACCTTTAGCAACAGCGATGAAAGAAGCAAAGGTCCCCTCTGTGTAGAGCCTCGGCGCCGAGAAGGGCAGAGAATCATGAGTTGGAAAGTGTTTCATAATAAACTCTCTCTCAGACTTTGCCTGACCGTGAATAGGAGTGAACTGCTCCTCTATGTCATTCGCTTCATTTTGCTCAAAGAAATAAAACCCTGCGCCGAGAGCTGTAGAAATGATCAGAGGAATCACCAAAAACCACCATGGATATCGCCCAACGAGGGCTCCCAACTTCCCGAACACTTTACAGAGAGGTTTCTCCAGACAGTCAGTGTGACACCGAGCCATGGTCTACACTGGGCAGTCAGCAGACTGAAGCTCTCTCGGATTAAAGCCAATACATTGATGTGTAAAATAACACCTGTACAGGAAGTGTGTCATTCGACTGAAGGCAGGTCCCTGACTCTGTGCCTCCGGTTTGTGAACTAATGTTCAACTGAGACTTCTAACCCAGTGAACATCACACCCTGTGTACACATACAAGGTTACTGATAATTATTATCCTTCCGTGGAAAAATCATATTGACTGTTGCTACACCAGACTACACAAAGCAAGAATAATAAACCCAGATATAGTTTTCTTTTAGTTTTCATGATTTGATATGCAGTATCAAAAATGTTTGTCTCATAAACTAAATTGAAAGAAACCATATACGAAACACTCTTTATCACTCCAATACTTGATTGGTATCAGTTTTCCCTTTGTGCATTATCAGTCAGGGATACACTTGTATTACAATATGAATTAATCACTGCATATAAATACTTCTCAGGACGCCATGACAAGTCGCTGTATCAAATTTGAGGTTTATTATTAATATTATTCTTTTAATTAGGTTCAAGGGCAACATTTACAACCTAACTCCACCTGGTACCATTCCTAGGGAGGTACAAAATCCATTTGCAAGTGTTGTATGACTCATAGATGGGAATGATTTTTAATATGTCAGCTATTATCATTATATAATTATCACAGGCAGGCACTATAATTTGAATGATCCAAATCGGTTATTCTAAAAATTAAATACTTCCTTATCGTCTTTGGTATTATGCTGATCATACATAAGTATTTGTGGAATAGTATAAAAGAAACCAGTTCATGCTCATGACAAAGACAGACAGCAAAATCAGAGATAGAATAGAATATGAGGTAAGAGCTTTAAAAACAAAATCAGTTATAACTTTATTCAGAATTTTTCGAGGGGCTGGTTGATGGAAAAGATTTACATGGAGTAATTTCCTTCATGGCAATCTTGCACTTTATTTCAAAATACTATGTTAAGCTTCCACGTGGACCCTTTCAGGCTTTCTGTAGCTGTCGTCGGGAATTTTCTTTGTTGAAGGACTTTCTGTCTGCAAAGTACTATTAACTTTTAGATTAATACATTCCTGCATTTCATCTTCATAAATCAACATCACTTTCAGTTTTTTTAAAAAAAATAAAAGAAGCTTTGATGAAAATAGTAAAATGATACAACTCAAAATGCTATCAAGTTTGCAATAATCATGGATAGTTTCATGTTTATTTTTCTTCATCTTGGGAGACCAACCAATATAAAACTCTTTGAAACGTCCTCCTGTCGACTGAAAGGCTCAATGTAAATGTAAATTGTATTGTTCTCTATTTGTTCGTGAGCAGTCATCGTGATTGAAGATGATGTGCGTGTTTGTTTAAGAATGAGTAACAAGACAAGTGCTCTAATAGTGTGCTTTCACTTACAAACACTGGTAACCAAAAGGAGTGACATACTTCGTAGAAAAGGGGCAGTAATTACATTGATTTATTTTTCTAGTTAGTGTCGTTCTGATCAGTGTGAGAGGTTTGTCCTGTGAAATTCAACACTTCAGTGTGGGACTTAGCACTGAGCACTCTCCAGGTTGGGACACTGCTGTGCGCAATTGGCTGCCGCGTTCGCCCACAAATATACAGTCAATTCACTTTACAGTGTGTTCTGTGAAGCACTTTGGGACGTCCTCCCCACGTGAAAAGCGCTATATCAAATGTAAGAATTATTATTATTATTATTATTAAATGTACCCCCATTGGAGCTCCCACTGCCCGTCTCTATATGAAGTGTGTGGCTGTGTTCTCCACCTACATATGTTGAGAGCTATGGTTCTGGTGGTGGGAATTGTTCAGATTTGTCCTGATGTTGTCGCTGCTTCTGTTAGTTCCCTGAACACCACCTCTCAATGTGAAGGGAAATGCCGCTCCCTGTTTATATTGAGGCATTGCGTCCTGACTGCCTCCAGCAACAGCGCTGGGAAATAAAGGACTGGACTGAGGCACATATAGAATTCAGATTTTTTGGTATAATGTTTATGCTGCAAAACATTCTGCAATGGCAAACTGTTGGGATGTGTGGGCTTTAAACAAATGCTTTCTCTCGCAGCATTGTCTGCATTCACACTGTGAATCTAGAAGATTTTACAGGAATATGGTACAGGTGTAAAAGATGTTGTGGCTTGTTAATAGCGTTGCCTAAATATTGCTGTAATGATTGAACCTAGCTCAGCCTGGTATACTTACCTCAAAATATTTGATTCCATTTTGTGTTATGATTCTCTTCATTAGTTTGCAATAGGTGTCAACAGCAAAAAAAATAAAATGGATGAAAACAACGACGAAATAGCTATTGTTGGAATTGGATGCAATTTTCCTGGAGGTAGGAATTTAAGATTTAACAATAATAAAAATGATGAAAAGAATGATGTTATGATGATAAATAATAAAACTACATGGAATCTAGCAGGAACTTTTGGAGTCTGTAACAACATTCATTTTCAACTGGGGCAGTGATAGGAAGCTACAGTTAGTGAGAATGGGGTCCAATATGCCATAATTTCAACCCAGAGATTGGTTGTGGGTTAATTGACTTTCATTTGTGAATATTGAATTGTGAGATTCCTACAAATTTCACTAAGTTTGTTTTCTAAATTCCCAATAAAACCTGATATTGCAAATATCAAATTGTAAATTGTAAGTTTCTTCTGGTGTACTGACCGACAATTGGTCATTCACTTCATGGCTGTTTGTGGGACATTGCCTACAAAATATAGTCAGCACATTTCAAACAGTCACTACACATCACATTCTGTGAAGCACTTTGAGATGTCTCGACAATGGGATACAGCTCATTGTGTCTCTGGTGGCTCTGAAACAACAATCCATTTTGACAATTTGTGAATGGCAATATCCTACATCAAGTGAATGATCAATTATTTTATCTGGGAATTGTAGACCAAGAAACCGGAAGAAACTCCATTCTCTTTTTTGAATCGTGCCTTGGGATCCTTCCACCTGAGCAGGCAGACATTATCTCGGTTTAACGTCTCATTCAAAGCATGGCACCTCCCACAATGAAAACTCCTCCAGCATTGCATTTGTGTGTTAATCTGGACTAAGATCTTTAGTCCTGACTTTGTTGCTGTGTTAAATTTAGGTTGTGTCAGGCTCAGGTGGGGCTAACCCTATAGTTGAACAGCTGCTACCAGTTACTGTCCAGGCTCACAAAAGAAGAAGGAAAGCTTCCGCTCTCGCTTCTCCAGGAGCCGTATCTGGTGTAACAGCAAGAACTTGCATTCATAAAGGGCTCTTATTATTATTATTTTCATAATATCTCAGAACGATTCCCAAAGATGCTAAACAAATGAGGGAAAGAAGGGGAGGTGACCATAGGTTTGGTCAAAGAGGTAGGATGTTAGGCAGGATTTGAAGACAGATAGAGAGGGGCCAGATAGAAGGGTAGAGTGAGGGAGTTCTGGAGGCAAGAAATCAGATACTCAGTGGTATCAATACACATTTACTAATATTATGACATACATTCCAGAATGATTTCTAAGAATGGAAGAGCTTTATTCTGTTGTCGTCTGTACAGGGGAAGGCATTGAAAACTTCTGGAAAGTTCTTCATGAGGGAAGAAACTGCGTTGTGGATATCCCACCAGATCGTTTTGATACACAATTCTGGCATGATCCCGATGACAACAAGCCTGGAAAAATGCGCACAAAGCGAGCGTCTCTCATTGAAGGGTAATGCACAGCATTCTTACAAACTACATCTTTTAAATTGATTCAGAATAGTAATATTTGTTGCTGCAAAACAAGTACTTTTTTGTGTGAGTGGATACTCTCATCCAAAACACCGCTGCCCACATCCTCACCTGCACCAAACTCCATATCGTTCATTAACCCAGTCTCTCCTGGCTCTCAATGGATTGAGTTCAAGGTTCTCAATCTCAACCATAAATCCCTTCACACCCCCCTGGTTGCATTGGATGGCTGTTCTGTTGCCTCCCGCTCTATCCTGTCACAGAATACGACAGGAGACGTGGCAGGAAGCCATGACTACAACTATCAGTGGTATTAATAGAGGTCTCGGCCCTCCAATAGACTTCTGAGAAGCATCTGAGCATCCATACCCAACGTCCTCTGAGCGCCCACGCCAGTCACAGGATAGAGCCGGAGGCCTCTGCATTCCAACATGCCATCTTATAGGATGAGTTATCTGATCAATTTTACATTATAACTACTTCCAAGAATTTCTAGAACGCAATGTATAGAACGCGCTACCCCAAAGAGCTGTTGACGCTCAGTCCTTGAACATATTGAAGACTGAAATAGATATATTTCTTATTGCAAAAGGGATTAAGGGATATAGAAATAAGGCAGGATTAGGTTATTAGCTGGAATTACATTAGAAGATCAGCCATAATTGAATGGCGTGGCAGGCTCGAAGGGATGAATGGCCTACTCCTGCTCATACATATTATGCTATGCAACTTGTCTCATGTTTGTCACATGAGCAGAGAGCCCAGCAGGTGAGGAGGGAACTGAGGGAGTTGGAACAGAGTGAGAATTCTGTTAAGGAATTTGATGATAGTGGGAATTCTTCAGCAAGAGAGATACCAGAGAGCAAGAGTGAACTCTTTCACTCAGCAGAAGAGTGGAAAATCTATTGTGAGGTTGAGACAACCTTATATGTAAGCAAGCAAACAAGGCGATTTGCAATTAATCATAGGCTAGGTGTTGGGGAATAAAAAATCTGCTGACCAGTTGAAACTGGGTCTTTTAGTTTGAGTCCTATATAAAGGAGAAGACTTGTAAGTGTTTCACTTGAGCAGAAAGCCTAGCAGAATGAGGAAGGAACAGAGTGAGAATCTGTTAAGGAATTTGGTGAGAGTGGGAATTTGGTGTAAAGGGGTAAAGAGGTGCATAATTATGTAATATTCATATTAAAACAATATAAAACATGTCTGGGAATATGACAGGGCAGCTGAGACTGGTTGCATTCATAATGTGTGCCATGTGGGAACTCCAGGATGCTTTGTGTGCCCTGGACTAAGAAGCGTTCTCTGACAGCTTGAGCTCAAGCTATATACAAAATGTTTAAATAAAATATTAAATGT